TCTGCCATGACTAATGAATATAACCGCGGTGAATGTATATATATGTATATTATCTCATGTGTAATGTCTGCATACTTTTTAAGTTTAATCTGTGAAATCTGGATGTGATTTGAATTTGAATTTATATGGCTGCTGTATTTTTTTTAATTCAGAAAATAATTTACCGAGACGGAGAAATAATAAAGCCTGCCACGACTAATGAATATAACCGCGGCCACAAAAGTTGTCCGCCGTGGATATCGCCTCCTTCTTGCCAAGCGATGCACGCGACTTGGACGACCACCATGACATCTTATCCGAAGCGGGAGATAAGCTGGCTGACGTGGCGACGGCGCTGCTACAGTCTAGGATGCCGCCGGCGGGTGACAATGATAATAATAATCTCGACGACGTACACAACACGACTCTTGCCATGAGATTCTATCTTAGACACAACTACATGTCGTTGGGACGCCTACTCGACGCCGCCGTCGCCAGCGGCAAGGTGCACGCCGCCGAGTTGACGATCACGACGACATATGCCGCCGCTCGTTAGACGACGACGACTACGAAAACACTGAGCGCTCTCTGGTCGGGCACGGCCGGCGTTTCAGGGCTCTCTTCGATGCCTGCCCAGCAGCTTTCGGAGTTGTGACCCAGCTCACCCTAAAGAAGATGAGACACGGCAAGCCTGACTTGGACGACATTCTCACTACCTGCACAGGGCTCGAGAAGCTGTCCTTGCATAGCTGCGGCCCCAGGGCCGGTGCGTTGTGCCGTTGTGGGATGTGCAGCACGCACGGCTTAAAGACATCAGGATCTACCTGTGCGCCATCCGTGGCGTCAAGCTCATATGGCTTCGCAGATTGGAGCGCTTCACTTTGCAGGGCTGGCTCTTCATGACTGATGAGCTTGTATCCTTGGGTCATGTTCCACGCCTCACCGCTGTCACCTTGTCTGAAGACATCGGCCATAACGAACAGACTCTCAAGTTAAGCCGCATCCTTACCAACAGCACTGCACTTAGGGATCTGCGGCTCAATTTCAGAGACAGTAACGTAAGTAGCGTAGTACGTCTTAAGTTTCTATATACCCTTTGTTTGTTTCTTTGCAAAATAAATACATATACATACTCGATCTAGTACTAGTTATTAGCAGTAGCACGGTGCGTTTCTTTTTTCCAAAATAATAACAATATAGTTTGTATGTGGTTTTCTTAATCAACTTATATATTATCATTTATTAATTGCTTTGGCTTTATTAATCTGTGCAGATCTGGGTTCAACCAGAAACGTCAAGACGTCTGACAAATGTGTTTAGCAACCTCAAGAATTTAAAGATCCGTAATGTCCACCGGGAGTGTGGCCTTGCTTGGATCATGTTCCTCCTTCAGTCTGCCCCACACTTAGAGGAACTCTACATTAAGGTGTTGTCTTGTCTAATACATACACGCGTCCGTTTTTGGTATACAATTAATACAGCACAGAAAAAGCAAGCATATATATACATAGGAATACATATTTGGCTCAGAAAGTTATTATTGCTCAACCAATTCGTGGCTAGCTCCTATAGATGCATCAGTCAATATATAGATATTATTATTACAGAATTGACGTGCGCGTACTAGCTAGTTTACTCCTGAATGCTTATTATATTACACTACCTTTATTCTTCTGGATTGCAGCTAATGGAACATGATTGCGAAGAATTTGCCAGAAAGAATGTGCCGTGGGAAGTAGACACCAGTTTCAAGCACTATAGTCTGGCCAGGGTCACAATTCTTGGCTTTTACCGCACCGAAGAAACAATCGTGGCATTCATACACCATATAGTAGAAGCAGCGGTTAACTTGGAGGAGATACGCATTCGTGAAAACGTGGCGTTCAGATGTGTCATCTGTGGACATATGGAGCCGCCTGCTGGGTCAAGGTTCCCGCAAACGAACCAAGACAGAGATACTTTTAGGAAGAGAATCATCAATGACGATGGTAGATCGACTGCGGCTACTGTCAAAATATATATTCAATTGGGATAACGGAAACATGACCATGCAAACTAAGGCCTCGTTTGGATACAAAATATTTTTGGAGTTTAGAAAAACACCATGGTTTTATGAAATACTTCGGTTTTAGAGTCCATGAAGTGTTTGGGTGCAACAAACTTTAGCTTTGAACCATAGTATTGCTGAAACCGTAATCTTTTTGGAGTTTTTATAACTCCACTCTATATCTTTTTTTTTCTTCTAAACCACGGTTTTACATATCAATGGTTCTAAAACTACAATTTCTTGATATTATGGTTTCTTAATACTACAACATTCAAATAAGGCCAAAGCTTGAATAAGCTGTTTGGGTTTTTTAGAACTTATCCATATGCTCGTATTTTTTAAAATTTAACGATGCGGGAGGTAGAAACCATGGCCCCGTATGGGTTGACTGTTGAGGGACTTAACTGCAAGGGGCATAGTATCTGCAAAGGAAAAGGAACTGAAGCAGAAAATCCATGCATAACCACTTCCTTTTAGGATAAAAGGATGGAACATGGTCCCGCATGTGTTGAGTGTCGGAAGAACCTAACTACAAGGGAATTAAAAACCTCATGGGACAAAACAAAATGGCACGGTGGCATATCAGCAAAGGAAAAAAAGACCGAAGCAGAAAATGTAATTGTTGTGAGTTATGTGTTGTTTTAATAAGAAGATAAAAGAGATAGGGTAAGTTTTATAGTTGTTTTAACCAAATAATTTACATCTTTTTCACGGCAATAACTCGCTACAATTTTTTCCACAGCTTATAGCTGAACCAAACAGATCTGTAAAACGTCTCTTTATTTCTACCAACTTGAAAAAGCATAAAGCCAAAAGTATGGTCCAGGTGCTAAAAAATTATACTATATGAAAGCAGTTGCTTCTAGAAAAACAGCTTCTGATTTAAACCATTGGTTGACATTGTACTGTCGGCTCTAACCATTTAGTTGACGTTCTACTTTTTGATAACAGAAACACTTTCCAAAGCTAAAACAAACGAACACAGCCTGAACATTGTCTCTGCCTCCGCGTGGGTCATGCGCTCCGCACCATATATGTCCATATTATCCGGTCCGCCTACGAGCTGCCGCTTACGGCCCAACGTCTACACGAGCTTCAGGAAACACCTGTACACTTTGCACATAAAAGAGTAGAGTATTCGCTAAAAAAACATAAAAGAGTAGAGTAATTATGCTTTCAGCATAAATTGCGTTCACTATACAGGTATTTCTATACAGACTGGTTCTGTACGCGAAACTGACAACTCAATTCGAAGGTTTATGCTGCCTCTGCAGTCTGCACGGGGAAACCAAATTTTCATATGCAGCTTGCAGCTAAAAGGAAAGAAAAACTGCACGTGGAACGCATTGTCGATAGTAGAGCACACAATTGCTCAGCTAATCAACAAAAGGAAATGGGGAGAAAATGACACTAATAAATTGGCAATATAAAAGTTAAAAGAAATGCTGCTTATGTACATTTGTCATTAGGTGCCCAAGCACAAGCGCAATCAGAGGGCGTGCACACACGCAATGGTAAAAATATAGAACCTCTGAATTCTCTATATACCTTAAAAACGGAGGGGAAAAAAACCCTGTAAGCTTCACGCTATAGTATCTAATTGACCCTTGATTTTCTACACATGTATGTGATTTCTATATATTTCTTTCTTTCTAGCTGTAAATCCTATGCTGCTATATCTGTTATGATCAAAGGAAATGGAGTGCGTGAATATTTTGCAGGTTGTGGTATGGTCACTGTTTACACGCTTGACAATTGAAAGATATCCTGAAGAAAAAGGTTGAGCTCTTGAGCCGATCTCCCAACCTCGCCTTGCCGCCTGCAAAGGAAATGCCCAGAGACATCAATTAGTTTAGTTCATTGAACTGAACAATGTTTTGAGGTTTCATGGGATACTTAAGAGGCTAGAGCCATTGAAGTTTACTTTGTCAGAAACTTGAGGCTGGCACTCACGTTCTTCAGTTCTTGGAAACATAGATTGCACCGCTCCAACCTAGCAAGATATGCGCTCGTGAAGCAAGTCCATTGAATGCATGAAGCAGGAAGGAGAATTCATTACAATTTTCAATGAGATGAAAGGATGAAAACACCTCTGCTCTGCCTCAAGGTCTACCCCAACAGGTGTAGCCGACAAAGCTGAAGAAATGGTGGAACCAAAGCTCTTAACGAGACTGAGAATCATCCCCAAGGCAATGCTCATATGCCTGCGTTGAAAAGTGTCAATGCACATCGATCAACTACAGCCTTTCACTTTTGACAAAACAGTTACTGTTGCAATGCACACTGTCTGTCACTTTTCATACTAGTAGCACCATATACAAACTGTGAAAACGAACTTAAAACAGTGGAAGGGGCAGTTAAAGATTGCACAATCGAAAAGCTTCTAATTAATGAGGCTACTAGTGTTAGTGTTACCATCAGTGAAGGAAGCTGAGTATACCATTGGGACTTTCCTTTTTGGGAATGGGTACAGCAGGACATTGATACATGGTCGCTAAACTGTTTGATTACGATCCATATCCATGGAACCATGGAATCCATGACTCACGTGAATTAAAAAAGTACAGTCGTGCAAATGTAGTTTTAGTGATGCAGAAATTTGCTGTCATAGCCTTAATTCCTTGAATAGAATAGCCAGCTAGTGCTAAAATTAGACTAGCCTGAACCATGAACAGCATGTCATATCTGCATACTCAGATCTGTACATGTCATAACTTGAATACAATGGCCAGCTAGTGCTACAATTTGACCATACATGAACAGTATCTCATATCTGCATATTCAGAGTTCCATCTCTTTTTGAGGAAGGGACATATTATAATCAGATTTACTTCCCATTACAAGGTCCAACTCTCCAAAGAGCATTTAGTCAGCTTTTAATCAAAATAATCAGCCAATGTTCAATAGCAAGGTCAAATTTAAATGATCTCACAATTCTAATATTGATAAATTAAGAGGAAATATGAGAAATGACCTGTCATATGTGCTTTCAAGAAGACTGGCAGTAAGACGTAAGAGAGAAGCGCAAACATCTAATGAGATACAGTTCTTATTCTCCATTATAGCGCTAACTATATCAGTAGTGACCTACAAGAGTAGAGAACATTCAGAAATTGTAATGGGTGAAACTACAACAAAGGAGTAGAGTACATACAGCAAAATCCAACATTCTCCATGTAGCATCAATAGATCCTTTTATATCATTTCTTTGCCAGCACCGGTAAACCACCTGCAAATATCACATAGAGACTACAATTACTCAATACATATAACGTCCCACAACAGCAAATGGATTCTTGATAATTACTCGATGGATGATCTTATTCTGGATCCCTTAATACCTCTAGTTTGGTTAGCCGAGACTTCATTACATGAATGAATTCTTGATGGTTTTCCATTAGACCAGACATATCATCTTCATCACTTGCAGATGCACGAAGTTTTCCAGAAAGTGAAGGGCGCAGCCTCTACAGAAAACAGTAAATACAAGGTGCATAATGGGTTCCATATAAAAAAAGTACTATTGGCGCCCAAAATGACACAATCTTGGAAGTAAACATACCGAGCTGTATAGTGTTGTCACATACTGGATGCTATCAAAATTAGAAGAGGAAGGTCCTGTTTCAACCAGAGAGCTTGGTGATAATTCTGAAGGAGACTGAAATCAATAGAACAATGTCAGGTCACTAGATCACTTACGGTCGTCAACAACATGCTTTCCACTTGACTCCATCAGTTGGTTTATTCCAATCACTTCATTTCTGTGGATGCTGGCAAATTCTGGATTCCTTGCAGCAGCAGGATTCCATTTATCAAAACTAGTTACACTGTACCAGTTACCAACTTCATTAGACTCAACACTCTCAGTGCACATCAAACCAGAACAGTTATTGTCCCCAGCACCTGAAGATTCTCTTATAAATTTCCTCTGTGATGAACTAATAGGCTCTGACAGAGGTATAAGCTGTTGCACCTCTTGGCTTTCTGGAGCTCTCCTTCTATAGTCAATATCTGAATTAACTCTCAAACTATTTTCTAGGGTTACCTTTTTATATCCTACATCATTAGTGATTCTTCTACAGCCAACTTCTTCAACCATCTTTGAGCTCCTTGAAATAACTACAGGTACCAACTTGCCATCTTCTTTGCCATGATTGGCAGCTAAACCTACTTTTTCTATATTTTGAGGCTCAATATCTGCTAACTCAACTGTGGCTGCTTCACTGAGAACGGGACCAGCATCCTTTCTAGGGCTATGCCTCGGGGCCAGAACAGGTACAGAAGATGATTCCATAATACCATACCGAGAACTATTAGACCTTGACCTATACATGGGAGCTGCTGATGCATGCGAACTGCGAGACAACATTCCAGCATCTGAAGAGAGATTCACTTTAAAGTGGACTATTGGTTCTGGTAATGGTACAGCAGCAGCTGGCTGATTCTTCCGTCTGTCAATGAAATTTGGGTTCAATCTAACTCTAGGAGAAAGAAGAGGTGTAGAAACAGATCTTGTGAGCTGGAGATCCCTTTTTCCAGGTGGCTTTGACAATCCCTTCGTTGATGCAGAAGTTGAGACAGGAATTTCTTTTGAAGCAGACATTGAGCGTCCAAGCAGAGTTTCCGATCCAATTTCATAGGCTGTTTCAAAAAGTACAAAAACATATCTGGTTTTAGAGTGCACAGATAACGAAGAGATCTCATAAGAAAAGTGTTTGCTGCTTTCAGTACCTGGGCTTCTGGAAACTGATAGCCTTCCAAACACTGATGACATGCTATCATCTGGTTCAATTAGCCTATTTACACTTCCATTTAAGCGTGGTCCAGCACTACTATCAACATAAGGCTCATTTCTCTGAAAATTTATATATGTACCATGTCATAAAGAAACAACTCAATTGATAACATAGTAAATCATGCATAACACGTCATACCATCAAATCCACAACCCACACACTGACACAGTTTTGGTTATATGAGCAACCAAGAAGTTTCCCTTCATCTACAGTTAGATCTGCTAATGTGGACCAGCCTACATCAACCACATCATGACATATGATGGGTTCCCAGGAAAGAACCTACAAGCAAAAACATAATGACCTTTGTTCCACTATTATTTCCTGAAGAATGAAATGAGGATCTTGATAAATCAGTTGGATATGTACCTTTAAGCTTTCATGTAATCCACAAAAAATTGTTTTACCATCACTATTGAATTTCATAGAACGAATTACACTAGCCTGAAAATTGAGGACAGTTACCATTAAGCAATTGGTTATCTGATTACAGATCATGTGCTTTATTTACAGCAAGCCTGTCACCCATTTCCACACAGAAATTCCAGGCACAGGATGATGTGAAGAAATTGGTGATCAGAAACCATACCGTCTCAAAGTATTCCCGGCTGTTCTGCATTAAGCAAGAAAAGGTTAATTATATCCGAGAAAAAGAAAAACAAGGTAGAGAATGGACAGTAACATTAGATTCTTCTTCATCAGATTGAAATACAGCAGATATATGTGCCACTATCTGGTTTGCAACAATCTAAAGAAGAGTAAAAAAAGTGCATACCAATATACCTATTTTTAGAGTGCCAACAGTCTACAGAAGAGTAAAAAAACTGCATACCAATATACCTATTTTACAAAACCTCAAACTTGACAAGTTGTTTCACAAACAAAGTATTATGTTAATAATAGCTATTTCACTAAGAAAGTTTTTCATATGGTGCAATGTTTGGTCTGAGATGCTGCATTATATTGGTAAATTTCGTTTGTTCATTGGTACTATTTCATGATCACAAACATAAAAAAACTGGTACTTCATGCTGCCTTTATGTGTTCCTTGAATCCTTGCGACGGATCATACTTGGGCAGAGTGGCAAACAGACTAAGGTTGGAAAAATCATAATATTTTTGAAAAAAAACTCATAATGGTGGATCTTAGTTCGAATATATTTCATTTAACTCAAGCATATGATCAAATCATCTAATGCTTAAATACAACTTTTAAAATTGTAGCCTTCTCGAAAAAATAGCTTTTTTCCAGATCACTATCTAACCTTGGGTTCAAGAGCTATATTGATTCAGATTTTGAACATAGAGTAGTTTCAACTTGGGACATGAATGATTCATTTTGTGAGTCGTTATAAATAGATATGGTACCTCAGGTCCAGAAGAACCAATCAACTCAAAAGTCTCAAGGTCCCAAAATTTAAGAGTCTTATCAACTGAACCTGCAAAGTTTTTGAAAAGGACAGCATGGAATATGTTACTTAGATCTCCAGGTGATGTACAAATAAGAAGAATGAGGAGAGGGACTAATAAGTCCATAATAAAAATAATAGAAATATTATTTAGAAAATTTGACATCCCAGGAAAAATTCACTACTGTGTGAGTATATAGGACCTGTAATCTAACCTGTAGCCAATAAAAACTCGTGGGGGTGAACATCTAAGCAGTTGACTGGACCTTCGTGAAGACGAAAGTCATGCATGAGTTTTCCAGCCGTCAAATCCCAGATCTAGCAAGATATTTTAAACAAAATTTCAGTGATCAGGAAATATGAGGTAAAGTTTTAATTAATGATAGTACAAGATTGTCCATCTCGTTGACAACAGCCATGTTGTAATTTGTAAGACACCTTAAATTTTTGGGTTCTATGATCTTCGAATATTTTGCATTATAATTAACGGACATGCTCAAAATTTTACCTTCACTGAGTTATCAGCCCCACCAGAAACAATCCATCGACCATCAGGAGTAAATTTAAGCACATTAATTCGTCGAGTATGCCCCTTGTATGTGTGGATGCATCTCTTCTTTCGAGTATCCCATATTTTCATGTTTGTGTCTGAAGACCCAGAGGCTAAGAATTCTCCAAAGGGATGGAAATCAAGAGATGCACAATTTGATCTGTGCCCAGTGAAAGTTCGAACAACTGCATATTGTGCAAATCGTCAATAGAAACTGAGATTATTGCATGACACAGTTGCAGTTCATGTTTTCAATGCACTGTTGAGTGTCGACACTGGTTAATACCTTTCGCCTCCTCAATATTCCATATTTTTATCGTTCCACTTGCAGCACCAGCACCTATCGTAACTTCAGAAGAGTCAAAGCTTACTGACTCAACTGGACTTGTAAAGCCTGATAGGCTCTGCAATGTACAATGAAAATCACTTGAAGTAGATAACTGATTGCCAAAAAAAAGCAAGAATGACATAACACGTAAACCAGCGGGATACCCTATAGGAAATTACCAGGAGGGCACTGGGTTTCCCTACAGCCCAAAGATTGACCCTCAGATCCTCACCACCAGTGATGAGGATCCTTGATGTTCGCCTCCCAAACTTGGCACAATTGACATCCGAAGCATGCGCGACAAACTCCTCTGATCAGTGTCAAGGAAACAAGACATATTGAAGGTTGCATACTACAACAAGAGAATTAAAGTCTTATCCCAGCATGATGTCCAAAGCTATAAGAGAATGTTTTCCACTACCACAAACCTATCCCAGCATGTTTAAAGTTTCTTTCATAATTCATTTTTTCAGAAGGATCTAAACACAAATTTCCACAAGAAAAAAATATTGACTGAAAATCCAGAGTAGAATACTTAAGTGCTCATATCATCAGCATGCATGTTCATCATTGTGATTATCGAAATGATACCAATTTTTGGCATAGCACTAGGTTCATACCAGCAGCTGCACTATCCATATGGTAGCAACTACATTCCCAATGAAACGAACTACTTAGGGTGAAGTTAAAGTTCTCCGTCAAAGGAATTAACACGTATGACATTGAGGATTGAGCATCATGTATAGATCTCCCCAAATACAGTGTGGCCCTATTAACAGCAATTGATACAACAACAACAAAGCCTTTAAGTCCCAAACAAGTTGGGGTACCAAACAAATGATAAGCTACAGAGCACGGAAGTCACGATTCCTGGCAAACAATAGAACTAGTCTCCTGTCTCGAGTTAATCCAGACCACCAAATTTAGTTTGATTTCAGGGAGGAAGCTGTAATGTTCCAGTCTGGAACTTTGCGGCACTAAAATTTCATTCCATCCCCACCTACACAAGTAGCAAGACAACTCGGATGGTCCTGAATACGTTCCTTGGTGGGAACGCAACTCCTGCACTGCAAGTCTGCACTCCACTCAATCACAGGCTCACAAGGCCAGATGGCAAGGATGAAGCCAACATGAACAGTAATATCAGAACCTGGAATCGAATTCGATCATCGCGGGTGAATCCAACCCCAACTTAACTGCACCAGTTCAAACAAAGCAGGCAAGAGCAATCCGACTTTAAGTTTCAATCAAAATCCCCAAACCGGTAATTCACGGGATACGAAGCTTGTACGCGCGCGCGGTGGCCATCTGCAGTGGCCGCCGTCATCCAAAGCGGGGGCGAGAGGGTTTTGGATTTCCAGGGTTCTCTCAGGATCCTCCCATCCGCAGCCGCTTAGCTGGCGCTAAAACTTCGCCCAATTGTTAGGTGGAGTGGGACGAGGGTGAAGGGAGAAGGAACGTTGAGGAAGGAAGCACACCAAGTAATTCCTGGCTTCCGTCTTCGTTCGCGGCCTCTAGTTTCACACGCCATTTTTCAGTTTTTTTATCCTAAAAAATATTTTTAGGTTATAGCCTTCTATTATAAAAGTGAAAAGCCAAGAAGCAATATGCAAGTAAGAATTTTCTTAATATTTTTATGCTACGGCCTTATTATTAAAAGTGAAAAGTCATGAAGACATGAAACAATACGTAGGTACTCCATCCGTCTATAAAAAATATAATTATGGGATTTGTGTTAGTTAAACTTCCTCGAGTTTGACCAACAAGAAAATATAACCATAGGTTCACGCCTTTTTATCTTTTTTCTTGAGAGAAGGTGTCAAAAAATAATATAACCACTTCAGCTACATTTTACGCCTTTTTCTTAATCCTTTTTGTTGGGAGAAGGTGTTAGAAAAAGCTAAATATTAGTGCAAATGAAAGTACAAAGCTGAAAATACATTCCATATATCTTTATTATTATGTCAACATAGGGAAAAAAGATTTCCCCACATATTGAACTGTGACCTTGAAGATTTTTCCAAAAAAAATCAATATTTTAAAATTAACCTAACTAAAAGTTTTTATATCTAACTTGCATTTCTTCTCATTCAATCAAATAAAACTACTAAACCTAAAATCCACAAAACTCGAAATGTTAGTTCTATGTGACATAAATATTCCATCTTACTAACATGCATAAGACTACGTGCTGTAAATTTTGAGATACTTATTATAGGCGACCGTGACGTTTAAGAGAGGGATGAATTAGACAACTTAAAATTCTACTTCTAAACTATGGCATCTTTTTCTAACTCTAGCAAAACATATGTAATAGATAAACTATCTAAATGTGCAACTATGATTTTATTAGTGTGTTGCTATCTCTACCGCAAAAGGAGTAGTACAATCAATGTAAATGCGAAAGCTAAAGAGCAAGGTAGAGATATGCAAACTCCTGTCGATGACTCCGGTATTTTCACCGAGGTATCGAGAAGCGCGCAAGCTTCTCCCTAGTCCTCGTTGGAGCCACTCGCAAGAAATCCCTCGCAAGGGCCAAGCTTCTGGTCGGGTAACTCCGTGGATAGCCTCGGGTCTTCCCCACACGCAAGTGGGACTCCGACGTGCCTTCCGGCAAGCCTCTCCCGGATGCTCCCCGTCGTCTTCACTATCAAGCTTCCGGCCGAAACGCCGCGGGTCTTGTTTCCTCCGATACACGGTGGCGGCCACACCACAACTGTGATTGATGTGATCTCGTAAGACTACAAGCCCCTCTGATGTACAATAATGATGCGCGCAAACACCGAGTGGTAAGATGTATGTAAACCTCACTAAACAATAGACCTAAACCTAGAGCAAGCGCATAAGTGGTGGTCTAACCAACCTAAGCACTTCGCAAAGCACCTACGCTAATCGCCTAATGAATCACTAAGCACTATGCAAGTAGAGATCACTAAAATGGTGTATCAACACCCTTGATATGTTTCCTCAGCTCCACACACTTCAAATGCCCGGTTGAAGGTCTATTTATAAGCCCCATTGAGAAAGTAGTCGTTGGGGACGAAATCCTGTTTTTCTGCTACTGACCGGACGCTGATCACGTCCTGACCGGACGCGTCCGGTCGTCCCGACCGTTAGAGCCACGATCAACTTATCGGATGCTGCCAGCGTCCGGTCACATGCCACCGGACACGTCCGGTCGCAATTTTGCTGCTCTGGAACCTCTCTGTACTCGATCGGACGCTGTAGTCCCGTGTCCGGTCGATTTGTCGCCAGCGTCCGGTTGCTCCTGCTATTGCCGAGCCTCTTGATCGGAGCGTTCGATCATTTTCCGCCAGCGTCCGGTCACCTCTATGAGCTCGTTTCTTCGTGATGTTACGTCCGGCTTGGTTCCTATCTTCGTGCTTGGACTTTGCTTGATATCTTGGGTCTTTTCTTGTGCTTCTAAGGTCTTGCTTATGGTATTGATCATCGGATCATCACATTGTCTTCGTCCAAGTCACATCTTGCACCCTATTGAACTACAAAACAATCACTTGCAAATTCATTAGTCCAATTTGGTTGTGTTTATCATCAAACACCAAAATCCAAAGTAAATGGGCCTATGGTCCATTTTCCTTATAATGTCCACCTTTTTGGTGATTGATGACAACACGACCAAAGCAAGCAAATAATAAAAATTTAGAATTTAAAAACTATCTACTTGCTATGATGCAATGCAAGGGGCAATGTTATATGATGTTAAAAGATACTACTTGTAAGACTAAAAGATACTACATAAAAACTTATCTTGTCCTTGCAAATGTCCCCATATGGCAATATGGATGTAAGCCTTGCTTCCTACAAATTCTCCCTATTACATAGGCTAATCCATAATCCACTATCCTCCCTTTCTCGGACCATTACCGCTTGTAGACCATTACCACTTTGAAAGCATCTAGGCCCCTAACTGGATTTTGGTGATTAATGTCAATACAAGATTACTATGACTAACGTGTGTTTTGCAGAGGCAATTAAGTTAGGTCATGGTAATGAAGATCGATTGGGCAATTGAGGTTGTCATGCCCCCACGATGGAAATCGTTTCGGTTTTCAAAGGATGGACGACAAGGTTAAGGATAACTAGTTCTAAGTGTCAATTGAAGTTGGAGAGACACTTAGAGTAGTTTAGGACTTTGTTTTTCCTTTGGCCGTACTATGAAGGGGGGTATGAACGGGTAGCTTGACCTAGTTGAGTCTAGTGAGTTAGGTGTGGTGCACACTTGTTAAAACTAGCTCTAGGTAGCTCCTATGAATGCCTAAGATCCTTTGGAGCAAACTTCATTCTCATATGATTGAGAATTGGAAGTGAATGGAGGGTCAAATACTAACCGAACGCTGGCTCCGGTGCGACCGGACGCTGGCCGCAGGGTCCGATCAGTTCATTTGGCTGAGGAGAACATGTCTAGAGTGACCGGACGCTGAAAGGTCGTGTGACCGGACGCTGGGGGACAGCGTCCGGTCGACTCCAGTAAGGGTCCAGACTTGAGAAAGTGTGACCAGACGCGTCCGGTCAGTGGTGACCGGACCCTGAGTATCCAGCGTCCGGTCGATTACAGTAAGCATCCAAGAGCGACCGGACGCGTCCGGTCAGTGCTGACCAGACCCTGTCAGCGTCCGGTCATCACTTGGAAACTGTTGCGCGGGTTGAACTAACCGGAGCGTCCGGTCAATATGATCAGAGCGTCCGGTCATCCCGCAGAAGCTCATAACGGTTCGTTTTTCAGGCTGCCTTATAAATAGAAGCTCCAATCGAGTGTGGAGTGACTTTTTGCTCATTCCAACAGCTGAGAAACACGTTTGTGAGTGCCAAGAAGAGTAAGGTCCTAGTGAGGTGTTCGTGATTTGAGAATCCAAGAGTGAAACCTCATTAGTGAATCAAGAGTAGACAAGTGTGCATCCATCTTCTCATTAGGCTTCGCGTGGTCAAGTGAGAGTTCGTGCTTGTTACTCTTGGTGATCGCCATCACCTAGACGGCTTGGTGGTGATTGGGAGCTTGGTGATCACCCGGCGGAGCTTGTGGGTGACCCAACTCAAGTTGTGAGCGGTTTTGGGTGATTCGCCGCGACGGAGTGTCGAAGAATCAACCCATAGAGAGCACTTGATCCTTGTGCGGATCAAGGGGGAGCTACACCCTTGCGCGGGTGCTCCAACGAGGACTAGTGGAGAGTGGCGACTCTCCGATACCTCGGCAAAACATCGCCGCGTTACTCTCTCTATTTACTTTGAGCATTTACTTTAAGTATTTACTTTGAGCAATTCAATACTCGTCTTTACATTCATAGAATTGCTATGCTAGAGTAAGTTTGGAACATAGGTTGCAAGTCTTTTGTGCGTTGATTTGATAGAAACACTTTGTCTAGGCACAAGGGGTTAATTGGGCTATCCGTAGGATTTGATTATTGCAAGAAAATTTAGAATTAGCCCAATTCACCCCCCCTCTTGGGCATCTTGATCCTTTCAATTGGTATCAGAGCCTCGTGCTCACGTTTTTAAGCCTAACCGCTTAGAGCAAGATGTCTCACGGGGATGGTCCTCCTCCTATCTTCGAGGGGGATGATTTTTCATATTGGAAAATTCGCATGGAGGCTTACCTAGAAGCTCTAGATGTTGGAATTCTT